GCCTTTTCTGTGCATGGGCCAGATTCGATGAGGTACATTATCCATAATCCTCTGGGCTGCCAGACTGCATCTCAGTTAGTAATTCAAAAACTGTAGCTGTTGGTGATATACGGTCCCCTAAAGAGATGAGCACCTAACACTCCTACTCAAAGAGCAAATACTATTTTGTGATTTCACATGCAAACTCTCATCTTCCCTTTCCCTTTTCTTCTTCTCTTACTCCATCTTTCCCTGAATTCTTCTGAAGTATGGCTACCAGCAAATTAAATTTATCTACAATGGAATAAATGCTTTCTTAAGTGCTATGTTTTCTTTGTTTTTTGATGAAGATAACAGCTATAATTCTCTCAGCTAAAGGTAATTTTCAAAATAGCCAGTGAAAGGAATAAAATGGACCTGCTCTGCATTCTTAAATGGAGCAAAGTAAAAAAGCAAAGTCAAGCAGGACTTATTTAGATGTAAGTTTTGCTTTAGATTGCTTGATCCTATGCATACTTGGCAAGAAAGGTCTGAGAAATGCTTATTACAAACAAACTGCACAGAACAGCAGTATTTCTGTTGCTTAATTTTCACTGGATCATATTACTTTTTATTATTTTCTAAGAAAATGTGAAACTGAAATAATTCATAAGAAGGGAAAATCCAAAAAGTTACTGGAGGACTTTTAGTTTTTTTTTTATTTGCACACAATATCAACAGTTTACTGGTAATGTTAGTCAGAAAGTAATAGAAAGAGAAAACCTTGACTCTGCAAGCTTGTATTTCTCTTGGAACTGCTCTGCTATTTTGGATGTTTAACAGGAACCTTACTATAAAAAGAATACCCAGTTAGTACAAATTAATAAAACCAGCATCAAAGGCAAAATGCAGCAGAATAAGAACACAGAAGAACTTTGGGAGGTATTCCTTTGAAAACATTTTTAAAGTCACACTGAAATAACACTGTCTTTACTGCTCTTCTGAAAAAAGATGATGATGATGCCTGGAGAGGAAAAGGTTAGAGGTGATATGATAGCCCTGTTTAAACATTTGAAGGATACATTGAGGATGCAGCAAGCTTGTTTTCTGCTGCTCCAGAGAATAGGATGTGGAGCAATGGATGCAAACAGCAGGAAAATATTCCACCTCAACATTAGGAAGAACTTCCTGACAGTAAGAGCTGTTTGACAGTGGAATATGCTCCCTTAGAGAGTGGTGGACTCTCCTTCTTTGGAGGTTTTCAAGGATGGATGGCCATCTTTCAGGAGAGCTTTGATTGAGAGTTCCTTCATGGCAAGGGGATTGAACTGGATGGCCCTTGTGATCTCTTCCAGCTCTATGATTCTATGTACCAGGACAGCAGAAGGCTTTCCATAATTTGGTTGGTACAGCCCCAACATGAGAACACATCTCTTCATGCTTACATTATAGTGAGAGAAGTAGGGCTGAGTAGTGTCAGGAAAATGACATGGATGTGACCACAAGGTGGAGCTGTAGGATAAGAAAGGCAAGCAGCTCAGCTCCATGGGCAGGTGTGTGTGGGTAGTAATTGAAAATATACACACCTGAGATGCCTGATGTAACAGGCATTGTTAACTGCCTATAAAAAGGAGATAGGAATTATCTCCAGTTTGGGTTTGTGGTGGAGCAGTTTGTTGGTTTGAGAGAGATTTATGAGTATTAGAGAT